CCAGAGAGAACAGGGGCAAAATGGCCCAACCCCTTTCTTTTGTTCTGTTCAGTTGTGCAGGGCTGTAATCCCAAACTGGCAAGCCTCTTAGGAAAGATGGTTTTCAATTTGCAGAGCATGTGGTTTCCTCTGTTCGAACACATGGCCTTCCTGCTTCTTGTCAGTTCCTGGGGACCGGCTGTCACATGTCAGATTTCAGCTGTCAATTTTGCTGACTGTTTCCAATACAGTCAATTAACAAAACAAAAACAATGTCTCTGTAGAACTCTAATAGGTACAAACTTAGTTGTGATGTGTGTATGGTGCTTTACTTTTAATTAATAAGGGGATTTCTCCTTAAGAGTAGGGAGCGTTTTTTTTATAGATCTGGCTACCGTCTTGAGGCTGTAGTAGGAAAAACAAATACATTTAATTTGAAATATTGATTATTCTCTGTAGTCAGGCATTATGAAGAGAGCATACACAATAGGAATGTCAAGTCAAGACTCTTAATTGAAACTTAAAAAAAGAGATGAGTTTAAACAAAAGACTGTGGGGATCGGTGAGGTGACGTTTGTCTTATCAGCATCCTGTAAAAATAAATTGCAGCTGTAGGTCTTAAAGGAAGGGTGGAGCGTGGTGTCAAGAGCGCAGTTCATGATGTAGACATAACAGCCTTATTTCCCACACTCTACCGTTGCTGAAACGAAACAGACGTGCAGTACGTCCAATGTCGCAGCTCGCTGACGCACGACGTCACAATGTGGGCCAATAGACCCTCCATGGGCGGGTCTTTCCCGTTGTATTCTGATTGAATCAGTCCAGTTTCTATTAGTTGGGCGAGCTGAGGAGCAGGAAGAACGGAGGAATCTTTCACCAAACGATGTAACTGTGGAAACCGATCGTTCACTGGTCCGTTAAGGCAGCTGCGGAATGATATGAGTTCCAGGCGGACGCGCCAAATCGTGACGATTTTATTGTCTGCGGTGCTGGAATCTAACCAGGCTGCATTTACAATGATGCATCAGATGATAACTGCGCAGGGATGCCCTCGCTGAACATGGACAAACAGGGCGTCTATTGCGATGAGGAAGGCTTCTTCGTTTTTGTTTTGAACACGGGCCATCAACAGAATCATTGCAACGCTCGCTATGGACAACTTGAACGCTCCTCTCATCCGCTGTTCTTATGAAGAACATTGCGCAGTGCAGTGAAAGGGGGATATCGTGTTGTGGATTTCTAATTGGCGGTGAATATATTTCCTGTTAAGCTTGTATCAACCCGGTATCATTTCCCAGTATAGGCTGTATACATCCTGCAGAGCGTCTTGGTGCACAGTCAATGTAAGGCGCGTTGTCCAGTGGTGAGAGCCACTCTCCTAACGTACAGATGAGAGGCAAACAATATCATCAACCACTGAAGTTGACAGCGCCTTGGGAGAAGGATGCTGGCTTTGGGAGGAAGCTCAAAACCTACAGGAATCATACCAAGATAATAGCACAGCCTGGGATCGTGATGAAAGTCCTCCGCAGGAAGAGGATTGTGTTGTTTATGGCCTATTTTTTACTGCTGGTCCTCACTATGCTTAACTTGGCTAACTATAAATGGACTAAAGAGCCACAGCAGTGTAACCATCAGATGAGGAGCACCACTTATCAGGGCAGATCTGACATTCGCTTCCTGTACAGGCCCTCCCTGGCTAAAAAAAGACAGCTTATCTATGTTCTGACCACCTGGAGGTCTGGCTCGTCCTTTTTCGGGGAGCTTTTTAACCAAAATCCTGAAGTGTTCTTCTTGTATGAGCCAATGTGGCACATCTGGCAGAAATTGTACCCGGGTGATGCAGTGTCTTTACAAGGGGCAGCCAGGGACATGCTTAGCTCCTTGTACCGCTGTGATCTGTCTGTTTTCCAACTTTACAACAGCCCCGGGGGAAAGAATTTTACCTCCCTGGGACTGTTTGGGGCCACCCTCAACAAAGTGGTGTGCTCTTATCCTCTCTGCTCAGCCTACAGGAAAGACGTGGTGGGGATGGTGGATGATAAGGTGTGTAAAAAGTGCCCCCCTCAAAGCCTTAGACTGTTGGAGGAGGAGTGCCTCAAATATAACACTATAGTTATTAAAGGGGTACGCATTTTGGACATTAACGTGTTGGCCCCACTCATGGAGGATCCATCCTTGGATTTGAAGGTGATACACCTGGTCAGAGACCCACGGGCAGTTGCCAACTCCAGGATCAAATCCAGACATGGTCTGATAAGGGAGAATTTACAGGTGGTCCGCAGCAGGGACCCTAAACTTCGCCGGATACCTTTTGTGGATCCAGGTCACAAAGCCAACAAGAAGGATGGCTCAGACTACCACTCCATAGGAGCCATGGAGGTGATCTGTGACCGCACGTCCAGGACTTTGAGGACTGCCTTGAATCCACCCAGATGGCTGAAGGGGAAGTACATGGCCGTGCGGTACGAGGACCTGGTCGAGAACCCAGTGAAGACCTTGCGGAACGTGTACCACTTTGCCAACCTCACAACCAACCATGACATTGAGTCATTTGCGCTGAACATGACCAGCGGCTCCAGCTCATCATCTAAGCCATTCATAGTCTCGTCCAGGAATGCCACACAAGCTGCTAGTGCATGGAGAACAGTCCTCAGCATTCAACAGATCAAACAAGTGGAGGACTACTGCCACCATTCCATGTCTGTTTTAGGGTATGAAAGAGTCAGAACAGCCGGGGAGGCCAAGGACTTGAGCAAATCACTAATGACACACTCCAAACTGTGAAAATGTTGTCACCACCAAAGACGTTTTAATTTAATGTTCTTTTTGCATTGAGTGCCGTTTCCTCTTATTGTGGAATTATAGCTTTACTTTAAATAGATGTTCAAGGAGCTCCACTGGCCACATTTGGAATGTAACATGTTTCTCTCAGTTGAATTGCAGTGATATTTCAAGGGATGACTTGTTTTATACTGGGATGTTGACAATGCAAGGCCTACGAGCATTGACTGAATTAGTGAAGCTGTAACAACAACAAAAAAAAACCAACTGTATAATTCCTGTATCTTGTTATGATGACACTTCAAAGTTGACGTTTTGGGGTTATTTTTGAATGTTCAGAATCTTAACTAAAACTGTTTTTTTGAGTCTCCATACTGTCTGTAATTGTGAAAATAGAGAAATGAAAGAAAAACAAAGAACTGATTTAAAAAAAAAACAACAACCTCATTGCTAATGTTTATTTGTAAGATCTGGTCAGTCAGAGACAATCAATACATTGGTTTGTTGATGTGCCATAGATGAGTAAGCTACATCTGAACAGCAGTAGTTCAGATATTATTTGAGCTATTTCTAGATTGTTTTATCACCAAATAATTTTAGGATTATATCATACACTGTGGACAATATCATGGCTCTGGAGCTGGAGTGTCTCTGTGTAGGTGTAAGCAGTCTGTTCTACCATTTCAAATGTTAACAATTGCTTGCTCTTATGAAAACACATGATCTGGGAATATTGCATTGAGTAAAGTTCACAGTTAACAAGGCAGTGTACACATCTGTGTTGAACAACCCGCACTGCTGTACAAAAAAAATCATGATCGACAACATGCGCACTGGACCAGTGGTTCTCAAAACCTGGTGCATGAGGCAAGGTTCGCTTAAAAATAAAATAAAATCCACTAAATTAAATCAATATGATAATAACAAAACTACCATGCTATTACTATGTATTTTGAATTACATATAGTTTTAGTAATACTTTTGTTCTTTGTATTTATGAGATGTTTCATGGCATACCTTAGTTAAGTGCATTATGCACCACTGTGCCTTCCCTCATTATTTGAGAACCATTGTGCTGGAATAATGTAACATATGTGTTGCTCTTTGCTACATAAATTAAAGCTGCCCTGTGGAGTTTTTTTGTCAACAAAGTTTCTGTTTACGTTCAGTGTTTCTCAGAACTGTATCTTTGAGATCTACCTCCATCATAAATTTCAAACATGCATCAGGGTTTACTTCCTGGCAGTCTTCTTCTTCCCTGCCTTTGTTGGTGCATTGTTGTGTTTCTTGGTGCTTCACTGCTACCTGTAGATCATTGCTATGTAACTTCACTAGTGGTCAGAAACTCCACAGGGTACCTTTAAGTATGTGTCATAAAAATGTTATTCGTAACAGTCAGGAAAACTGTAGTCATTAGCTGGTGGAAGTAATTATAAGTCACTTGAGGACTCCAGTTTAAATTTTGTGACAACATGACTTTAAAGACCTCTGAGAAATGTCTCAAAGAGGTAAATACATGAATTTTAAATGGTAAAAGTATAGGCCTAAAAGTTAAAGGGACGCTTAATGAAAAGCACAACAAATTACATTTTCCTTATACACCATCCAGATTTCGATGTGATTTGTTGAAAGTTCACTTCAGTAAAACAGCTCAGTTACATTTGGTTTGTGATGCTGAAAGAGCCTAAAAATTACACTTGAAAAGCTCAACAGGCAAGGTTACACAGAAAAGTTGTTAAGACTTTGTTGTGAGCAGTTTCTTCTTCCTGCACAGAGATTGATGCTGTAGCTGGTGGGCGTACAGCAGTGAGTAGCTCTCAATGAACACATTGAAAAAAAGGTTTATAGTTCAACAGGAGGAACAGTCCTATGTGCCACTGAGTTTTCAAATGTTAAATTTTAATGTTTTGATATTTTGAGCATCACTGAACACTTGCATTACAGTGTGTTGTGTTGGGCTGACCTATTGTTCAAGTGATAGCTGCAAATCACACCAAAACTAGCAAGATTGTTGTGTGTGTTTTTTGGAGAACCGTTCCTTTAAGGATAGAACTAAAAACTGAGCATCTCCATCTAGGGACTGAAAGGCTGTCGCTCAGAACAAAACTGAGTTCAAACAGCACAAACAAAGGAGAATATGTTGCTTCTTTTTTTTTTCAGCAATTGAGAACTGAAACAGAAGAGCATTCCATAGACATAGACATGCATGCAAAACATAAAATGGCCAAATCCCTTAGTTTAAGGACAATGGCTTTATTAATACAGAAACAGTCAGCATATTCACAAAGCCTAACCTTCACAGATTGGATTTGTGCAGTACACAACACCCTGCTTCACATAAAGGGGAAAGGGGCCCTGAGATTTATAATGATGCACTCAGAAAGCGGCAAAAGGAAATCCATAAAGAAGTCTCACGTACTTTTCCAAATGCTTAAGCATTTAGAGTTATTTTAGCCAGCCGCAGAGTGATAAGCAAGACGTGGCGGGAGATGAGGGATTAATAAATTCAGGGGAATACAATTTGAATGAGTTAAAAGGATTGCAGCAGAAAACAGTGCAGTAAAAGTTTAATAAGGAGTTGGGGAAGAGCAAAAGCAAAGTTGGCATGAAAATACCATTTCAGTTGATTAAAGGAAATACCATAGCTTTCAGTCACAATCACGTTCATGAGCAATTCTCCCTAAAGCTTGAAGCCAAGAGGTTATGTAACAAATTAGCATGAAGCTGCTCTGATGGCAATTAATGTGTGACTTAACATGTTGCATTTTCACGAGAACTGTCGCATTATAAATTTGCTTGCTGGGTGAAAAGAGCACGGTGCGCACATGTCAGCTGGTCAACGTTGACTTCATTGTCACTTCGTTGGTTGTGTTGGACATTAGGCACTTAAACTGTACAGGATTAATCATTCTCCTTCAGCTATTAAATTCCTTGAAACTGGAGTAAGCCAAGAAAAAAATCAGCAGAGTAACAGAAAGAGCAATGGCCTTCGTAATTGTTTTTTCTCCCTCTGCAAGTGTGTCTCTGCATGCATGTCAGCACAATGGGGGCGAGTGACCTTTCGGGAGCCATTGTAACTCTGACTCCCGGTTGACTCCTCTCAGATGCCCTGGCTGGTGACCCCATTCACTGTGGGAGAAAGGGCCTTCGCCTCGGGGCAGCAGGGGCTGATAAGCTGGGGTTAGAAGTGACTCCTGGAACTTCAGGCCTCCCTCGAGGGAGCTGGAGCTGTGCCAAGGCCCAGGTCTCCCTCCAGCAGGTCTTCCAAGTGCTCGGATCCAGAGTCGCCTCCTATAGATACAAGCTTGTTCTCGCTTTTGTCCAAATTGAAGGTGGAGTCATATGGTTCCGTCTCACACAGCTGCTCCTCATCCTGAATGGCAAGTAGCAAATAATAACTGATAACTTGCATTTCTTTCTATTCTCTGAAGATACAGTATACACAGTATGTAGTAACACAAGGGAAGTCTTACGTCCTGGGCATGGGGGCTGCCGAAGAGTCTGGCAAAGAACCCACACCACTTTGGCAGTGAGTTGGTCAGCGGAAGGTCACAATGTGTCAGCAGCGGCTTTAGATATCTATGACCTTGTTAAGGCATGGTGGCAAAGGTGTGTGTAAGTGTCAATGACAGGAAAATGATTTGTTTTTAGCCCATTCCAAATCTGATCTCTGGCCACCAAGTTATAATTGTAATAATCTTTGCAGAATCACAGTAAATGCTCTGTATAGCGCCTTTCTAGTCTTTTCGACCACTCAAAGCGGTTTTACATTACATTATATTCACACACTGAGCCTAAGTGCTCAAACAGAAACTAACATTCATACACTGGTGGAACAGCCACCAAGAGCAATTTGGAGTTCAGTAACCGCCGACCTTCCGATTAACAGTCAACCCACTCTATCTCCTGAGCCACAGCAGCTCGAAGCCACAGCCATCTGACTAGTGGCACATTTTGTGAGATTATACATTATGTGAATTTTTTAATTGCATTGCTTTACTGATGTATTTTAGAGGGTTCATAAAGGTTCAGAAGATCAAGCTGTAACATTTTGTAGTTGCTCAGATAAGTATGTTAATTTTGGATGGGGCCCAAGGATTTTAGCGGAATGTTTATTGTTTTAAGGGTGGGAGCGGAAACCAGAGGCCAGCAACTATGCTAGAAACAATGGGTTAAAGTGAGTCATACACACATCCATACATCTATACTATTTTCATACAGGATATATTAGGAATGGGAACTATAACTATGGAACATTTCCTTTTTTTCCATGAACATACTGTACAGATGACTGCTGTCTATTTAAATATCCCAGTCACTGTCACACTGCATGTGCTAATACACAAGACACATCAGTCAACATCTCACTCTTGTAATCTGTTTCGAACCAGACTTCTTGTTGTTTCCATGCACACAAAAATTGATATATAAAGTACAGCAGGGACTGCCTCACTTCCACCAGGCACAGCAGAGTGAGAGCCTGAACAATGACACAGCCATTTTTAGATTTCACCCACACTATTGCACTGAATCCACATAATGTAACGTTAAAATGGTTATCTATGCAGTTATATTGGGCTGTACTATTCCCCTTTTAAGGCCAGCATTACATGCCATTGTTTTTCCATTTTCAACATACTGCAGAGAGCTGAAAATGAGTCATTCAAGCTTTAGGTGATTGTGCTATTTTTGTTCCAGAAGTTGTTAGCATATTTAATATACATGCACCAACTCTTGTCTGCTGGGTAGTTGTCTTAAGCAATAAAAGCCCACAATAAAATATGCAACAAAGAAGCCTTTCCAGGAGGGAGCAGGCTTTAGAGCAGAACTGCAGAGGGCTTGATAGAGACAAAAATAATAATTAACTCAGAAAACAAGGTATCAAACGGGGCGTTATCTTGTTTCAGGCATGATGGGTCAGTTTTGCACTTGATTGAAACCAGAGGCAAGATCAGAACTGGTTTCTAAATGTGTTGATATAAGGTAGTACAGGCAAGAACATTTCTGATCAATGTTGAGAGCAGGAGTAGAAAAGGCTGTTTTTGGATGCCAGATGTTGTGGTAAAAGTCCCCTGAAGGTGTTGCGGGCTCACATCAACAAAGACCTTTGATGGTAGGTAGTCACTTTATAATAACAATGACATATAACACACCCTATAACACCTCTTTCTGCATACAGTAGCTTCATGAAAGCTGATCTTTAATAAACTTAATTCAATATCTATTCTTCATTACATTAAAAATCACAGCATACTTGCTAGCTTTCAGTTGCAAAAAAAATCCAGTTCTGATTAATAATTGCCCTTCTGCAGGTGTTCACACTTTGCTCTCCTTGTGCCTTGGAAAAAGACAAAACAATACTTCACCAATCCTATAATTTCTGGACGAAAGCAACCTTTGTACCACATAGCCTATAATGAATAATGTGGGACTTAGAGGTGGCATACAAATACACAATCCCCTGGCATAAGCACAAAAGACAAAGAAGAAAATGATCAAATTCTTACATTTTGGAGCTGTTATCAGCAATATGCAAGAGGTGGAAATTATGGGCACCATTCTGCCAGCTAAAAGGATTTATTTATAAATGTCTCAAATGAAGAAGAGAAAGAGAGAAAAAGAGGGCGGGGGGTAAAGAGGCGAAAGAGGGGGGAATAATGACTTCCCTGGGACCTGCAGGAATGAGTTGTCTTCACGTCAGCACGATGTCCTCCTGTTCCACGCTGGCATAATACTAGACAGCGATGGTAATTATAACTGCTAGAGCTGCTTTCTGCTCCACAGTGGTGTCAGGTTGTGTGTGTGTGAGTGGGGGGAAAGGTGCTGAGTAGCTGTGTGGGGGTTGAAGCTGCTTCAGCTATCATCACGGCATGTTCATTCCTACGTGTCACCTTTTCCCAACCTTTTATCAGAGGAGGAAAATAACCAAGTACATTTACTCAACTACTGTACTTCAGTATAGTTTTGAGGCATTTGTACTTTACTTGACTTTATGCTACTATATACAGTATGTATAGAGAACAAGGAAATACATAACAAAGTGCAACAAAGAACACATGCACACTTAAAAGAACAAAATAAAGAAGAACAAACATGAAGATGGTCTTCATTTAAAAAAATCAATGGATAAAAATAAAATGACAGATATTTCAGAATAGGTTCAGGTATCCACAAAAGGAGTTGAAAAAAGGCTTCTTGTTTAAAACCTGAAGAATTTTATCATATCTAATATATTATATAATATATTTTCTTGGATGTGACAATTGGAGATTTGGAGTAGGCAGATATGTTTTACATTTGGACAGAGCCATGCTAGCTTTTCCTCCTGCAAGCTAAGCTAAGCTAACTGACTGCTTTATATTTAAAAAACAGACTTGAGAGTGATATCAGTCTTCTCATCTAGTTCTTGGCAGGAAAGCCAATAGCTGTTTCCCTATATTTCAAAGTAATGGATGGATCTTTTTTTTTTTTCAATGGGAAATATTATCTATTATCTGACAGCTGCTGTTACTAGTTACTTTACAGATTCAGATTTTACCTATGACTAACATCATCATTTCTAAATATAATACATTGTTATAGATTAAACTACTCACAGTATGTAAAGTAAATACAACAAACATAGCTTCACTCTCACCAGCTACAGCAATAAAAGGCTGCTTGTAATGCATAAATTATAAAAATCCAAAAATATAATACAAACAGCACACAATGGAGCACAATGGAGCACATATTTGCAATTGGTGCCATCTCCCTCTAACTGTTACTTTATGTATGGTATGTTTATCCCTTGCTGCTGTGGTATAATCCCATAAATATAGCAAACACAGAGATTTAAATCCCAAGTCACACCACAGACTCATCCAGAGACCAAGCCAACCATGTAATACAGCCAACCTGGGTCTCTTAAACACGGGTGGCCTCTGTGTTGCCAGAGACAAAACAAAAACATCGGTTGCCAGCCCTGAAACCACAGTCTGGAAAGATCAAACAGGCTTTGATGTCCTTCACAATCTGTGCTTATGGGTAAATCGTTTGTCCTAATGAGCCTTAAAGCCAGGCTGACAGGGAAACGGTTAAGGAAGCAGCAGCACAGTATGCTTTTAAGATGAGACACCAGCAAGCCAAGTTGAAGCTCAATTACCTGGCAGCAGTCTCCAGGCTGAGGCTCCTTTCACCTGGTCCACATCAAAGCTTCGCCATAATGCCCCCCACCTCTATCAATAGGAAACATTGGCCAGGACTGGGCCTTTCAACGGCTTCTCTCATCTCTGCTCTCTCTTTCTTGTTCTCACATTTAGATGCATCTACACACATTCTGTCAAATGTGCAAATTAACTATGCCAAATGGTATGGTTATACTGTACGTAGTTACTATGGTTACACAGATTGCACATTTGTGTTGCAGGTTGCAAGCAATAAGTGGGTCAACGAAAGCAAATGTCTTTAGCCTAGCCTCTCTCCAAAGGAAAAAAATATCAGACCTGTTGTTAAATCCACTTTGGGTCTTTTGTAAGAATTAAACAAACAAGATATAACATGTTAGTGAGCTTTAAAGGTGCTGGTAGGTGGATTTTGTTACCATCATACAGATTCAGGCTAGCTGTTCCAGCCTTTATGCTGAGCTGGCTAGTCCACTACCTGCCCATCTTCATCCTGTCTGTCCTACGTAGGCTAGCTTTCTTCCTGATTCCACCTTATTCCCAGGAGTCTTCTTTCTGGGGGACCCAGCTAGCCCTGATGCTCCCGATGATGTGGAGGCTCCCAGTCATATAGCTCCCTGGTTCTCTTCTGCTAGACCTCGCTCTAAAGCCAAACAGCACCCAGACAGCCTCAAACCAGTTGACCAGTCAGCTAGCACAGAACTAGCCAGTTCCCTGCCTGTTCCTCGCCTAGAGCCACCTTCTGGGAAACCCTCCAGAAGAAAGCGCCTCTGTCACCAGCACCATGCTTTTCAATTGCCCAGCGCCACAAAGCATCCGCTTCCCAGCGCATCAAAGTCTTTGGTATCGCCTGAGGTCTCCTGCCTCACCCCTTTCCAGCCCCCAGGCTGTCCGCCTGAGCTCTCCATTCTTTAGCACCCAGACCACTTGCCCCGGAGTCCTTCCTCCAGACCACCATTCACTCACCCACCCAGCTTGACTTTGTCTTATTTCGACTTGTTTCTGAAGGGACTGGAAAAAGTTCAAAACTAGTGTTTCTTTATTTCTTTTAGGCAGTAATTGTGATAACTAGCTGTCGGATCTGAGAAAAGTAGTGTCTCAAGCAAGGTTTTTAGAAGCTACAAACTCCATATATTCAACCACATTCACATTCTTTTACAGCCTGAACTGAAAATTGATTAGAAACTCTGTCACTAAATATAAAGAAAAACACTGCTTGCAATTTATTCCCAAGATTAGCTTAAATGCGTTCAGTTGTGAGGTGAAGCACAGTGTTTGGTGGAAACTTGGCAGAGTTCATCTATTTATTCATCTAACACTGTTCTGTAAAAACAATGGTGGTGGTGGTGATATCATGTTGTGAGGAGGCGTTTCAGCAGAAGGGACATGGAGACACAAAGGATGAAGAGGCACTTCTTAAGGAATATTTCAAAATCTTAGACAGAGCGAATCAATAATATATGAAAATATCCTTTCGACTATCTTAGAACTTACTTGACATAGTTATTCACAGATGCTCCCTGTTCAGTCTGATTAAGTATGAGATGACGTGCAAGGAACAATGCGAAAATCTCCAGATCTATTGGGGCAGACCAAATGCAGACATAACCAGAGCAATCTGAGGCTATAGTCGCTGTTGTCTCAAGAAACTTATTTGGTTGAGGCGGAGTACACCCTCGACAGGTCCCCAGTCCATCGCAGGGCTCATAGAAACGTACAGCCACTCACATTCACACCGAAGGGCAATTTAGAGTCACCAATTAACCTGCATGTCTTTGGACTGTGGGAGGAAGTCGGAGCACCCTAAGAGAACCCATCCAGACACGGGGAGAACATGCAAACTCCACACAGTAGGACAAACATAGTTCTATATTATAGTATCATACTGTTATTATTTCAGAGAGAAATGCCATAACATGATTCAACAAGCCAAAGTATGATGCACGTTTCTCATTATACTGGGAAAGCCTGTTGAACACTGGTTGACTGAATACTATGCATGTTGTCACAGGAGAGATCTTGTTTTCCATTTATTCCTACTCTACAATGCTAAACCTGCTCTTTTGGAGCCTTTCCAATTCAGTTAGTGATTAATGGTTTAGCAACATTGCCCAATTATATATTTCCATTATTCACTTTAAATGCACTTCTCTGAAAAAAAAAAGCATATATTAACATTTAACACAATCGTTCATTAAATTAATACTCTGTATGAATGCACTAGAAGACCTGCATCTCATTGTTTTGCAGTAGAGACAGTCCATAAAGTAAAATTATGTGCTCCTTAGTGAGCACCGGCCAGGTCATGAGGAAGTGGTCAAATTAAATTAGCTCAAACCTAATGCATGAAATTCCACTGCAGAGGACAGACAGTTTTCTTACTGCCAAATGATTTAACTACATTATCTGCTTACAGGAATCCAGTTCACCCTGTACTCAATAGTAGCTACATTAAAGAAATAGTTTGACATTTTGGGAAACATACTTATTTCCTTTTTTACAGAGTGTGAGAGGAAAAGGTCAATACTACTTTCATGTCTGAATGGTAAAAATAAGGCTACAACTAGCGCTTGTTAGCTTAACTTAGCATAAAGATGGGTAACAAGGGAAACAGTAAGCATTGCTCTATTTCAAAGCTAACATAAATAAGGTTGTACAACCACAACTTGATTTTATATGGATCAAACAAACAAACCCACACGTTAATTAAAAATGGAAATAGTTGCATTCTGACAGATATTTCATATTAACAAAACTAATATAAGCATATGCATGTTGTTTTGATACCGCTGCACACATAAAGTATGTTTACTGTGTACGTTATAGCAGACCACACACCTAAAGCAGTTTGACCTCTCTGTTTGTACTGCCATCACAGTTCATAAGGGTATTTCTTCACATTCCATGAAATGAAGTACTCTGCTGTTTTCCCTTGTACTCACAGTATAATACTACTCCACAGACCAGTGCATTAACCATTGTGAGTGCAAGCAGATGTGAAAGTGCTTTGATGAGGAAAGTAGTGAAAGGATACTTGTTGTCCAGACAGTGCCACAGGCCCTGTGTTGTGTCTGGCCTCCCTGTAGCAACCTGTAGGCCATGAGAGAACCACTGTTAATGGAAATGCTGGAAACCTGCACCCCTGGATGGTCAGCAGGGCCATATCCGATGACCTTAGGCCCTGTGCTTAAAGAGGAAAATCCTGTTTTCAAACAGTCCCAAGAGATCCCTTCCTGTTACGGTAAGGACAAGCCCCCAGTGGTCCCTGTGCGGACTCTCACTCTGGGCATTGTTACATTTATCAATTTCCATCAGAAAGAGCCCTGGAGCTCGGCCTCACCTCTCCACTGGGATCCTCCGGCAGCCTTACCTGTCACGCTGCCTATTCTGTCTGGCCCTCTGGCCTCATAATGCCAGGGAGCTGCCCAGACCTTGTCCCATTCACAGTGTGTGAACAAGAGTCAGGTCAAATAAGAAGATGAAAGACTGGGGATGGAGTGCTGCTGGGAAGCAGTGACAGTAGGGTGGGAGGGGTGTGTGTGTATGTGTGTGTGTGTGTGGACGTGCCTGCATAACAAAAAAGCCACACTCAGAAGGCCTGTGTGCAGGGGAGGAAAAGTGCATTTCCTCCTCTTGAACCTCTTCTTCGCTTGAATGTCATGCAGTGTTATAATAAACAACAGAGCCAAGATTAAAGGGTAGAAGCATATTATGTGTCAGTGAGAGAGGATGGCAGGATATATTTTAAATCTTGTAAATGCACAATGCTACATTTTGTATCCAATCCATAACCCTAACTCTATCCTATATCAGTAGTCAAACATATACGGACTCACAATGTCACCACACCGCAGCTGCTGGTGATTAAAAATAGCTCTTAAGCAAATGAAGTTTCATTGTCTTTGAATGCAATCACTGCTCTCTCACTTTGTTCAGTTCCCCACAGCGGGGAGAGCTGTAATGTTGGCAACTAAGCAGAAAACACAGCTTACATCCCAATATTAGTTCCTCATTTTTAAAGTTTAAGGTTTTACTCTATTTCACTGCGGTTTAAGCTTGAATACATTTCTATGCAAGAAAGCGCAAAGACTGGCAATACACAGAGTGGATAAAATATGGATTACTGAATAGTGACAATGCAGTGTTTTTACCTCTAAAGAAGGGTCCTCAGGATTTTCATCTGCAACCACCCCCACTCTGTAAAAATTAAAAAAGTACAGTCAAACCCTGACTCACTACAATAAAATAACAGAGACAGACCTGGGGTTTGATTCTCCACTTCATGTGACACTATACCTTTCCAAACAGTCAGTCTAGAGCCGCATGTGACTTGGCAATGAAAGTGAAAGTCAGCATGAAACTCAACTCAGTTTGAACATGACCTTTTAAACAGTTTCATCGAAATCAGCCTCTTCCTCCACATCACACCAAGAACATGTCATCTGGGTAAGCCGTTGATAACTGACAAACAGTTATCGCAGTTATGCTTGATATTCTGTGCGGCTGCGATTATTACCCTGTCGAGGTGTGCACCCCACCTTGCTGCTGCAGGAGTGCTCGAGCAGCAGAGCTGAGAGGAGAGGCCGACTGGCTGCTTGCTCGCTCTGAATTGAAATAAAGTGACTCAGCACCGGCCAGTGACAGCCTAGTGAGCTGCTTTATCTGGGAAACAAGGGGCGTTATCTCAGTGTGTGTGCCTGCATTCCCTGTATCTCCACACGTACTGAACCCCCAGACTGCAGCACTATCGCACCGTTTTGAACCCGGAATCTGAAATTTAAAAAAGTAACTTAGTAGCAATTTCTCAAGTTACTTGATTATAATTTTCCCAGCAAGTGAGCCAAAATCAAAATGGTGCACAGTTATACAGTCGTCAAAAAAACTCTATTGAGTACACTGTGGGTGTAAAGTTTCTCACAGAGCTTAGAGGGATGCTGAGCGTGAGATGGCTGTCGATGCTAGTTCCTACAGGTCAGCAGTTAACTCTAATAGCCCAGCATTACTGCGGCAAGGTTAGGACATTTTGAGATAACCTACCACTATCAACTGTGCAATGTGTGTGCATTTGCGTGCATTTTAAAGGCGCTGACTCCAAACCCTTTCACCGAGAGGCTGCTCTAATAACACAACAGAAAGATTTTCATCAGTGCATTAGAGTACTGCAGCTACTTAAAGTTGTACAGATTTTGTGTTTTGGCTTCCTTCCCTCCACAATCCATCTCCGGTGTTTGTCCTTAGAGTTTTCTTCCTCTCTCTCCTCTTGTTATTGGTTCTCACATTTCAGTTTAGTCTTTATTTTTTATATATTATTACAGTATGAATGGGGGCTATTTTGCACGGCACTTCTTACAGGTCCGGTGCTGTGAAACTCTTCTGAGAACCACCAAGAATCCAGCAACATCCTCGACATTATTGTGCTTGGTAATTACTTTGATTTGGCCTGTCTCAACAAACCATCCATCATTGAGTCATTTATCTTTTCATTTGTTTTTGTTTTTCACTATCTGTCCCTGCCTCTTCCTCTATTTTATCAACCAAGCTTCTGTTTCTTTCTTTGTTTTTCACCTTCAAGCTCCTCTCTACACCGATCCATCTTTGTGTCTTCCTTTCTCTTTTTTACCTAATATTTTTCTTTTTCTTGTTCATCTAAATCATTTTGTCCTTTCTCTTCTAACAAACATCTCATCGTCTTCATTTATCTCCCTTTTTATAATCTCAACATCCTTTTCACTCACTTAAATCACTCTTCCTGTCTTTATCACCTCCTACCCTCTCTTAATTATGTTTCTTTGTCTCCTCCTACCACCATCTCACTGCCTCTCCCTTTATTTTCTGCCCACCACATATACAGTGGGTACGGAAAGTATTCAGACCCCTTTAAATTTTTCACTCTTTGTTTCATTGCAGCCATTTTCCAAAAATCAAAAAAGTTCATTTTATTTCTCAGTAATGTACACTCAGCACCCCATCTTGACAGAAAAAAACAGAAATGTAGAAATTTTTGCAAATTTATTAAAAAAGAAAAACTAAAATATCACATGGTCATAAGTATTCAGACCCTTTGCTCAGTATTTAGTAGAAGCACCCTTTTGATCTAATACAGCCACGAGTCGTTTTGGGAAAGATGCAACAAGTTTTTCACATCTGGATTTGGGTATCCTCTGCCATTCCTCCTTGCAGATCCTCTCCAGTTCTGTCAGGTTGGATGGTAAACGATGGTGGACAGCCATTTTCAGGTCTCTCCAGAGATGCTCAATTGGGTTTAAGTCAGGGCTCTGGCTGGGCCATTCAAGAACAGCCACGGAGTTGTTGTGAAGCCACTCCTTCGTTATTTTAGCGGTGTGCTTAGGGTCATTGTCTTGTTGGAAGGTAAACCTTCGGCCCAGTCTGAGGTCCAGAGCGCTCTGGAAAAGGTTTTCATCCAGGATATCCCTGTACTTGGCCGCATTCATCTTTCCCTCGATTGCAACCAGTCGTCCTGTCCCTGCAGCTGAAAAACACCCCCACAGCATGATGCTGCCACCACCATGCTTCACTGTTGAGACTGTATTGGACAGGTGATGAGCAGTGCCTGGTTTTCTCCACCCATACCGCTTAGAATTAAGGCCAAAAAGTTCTATCTTGGTCTCATCAGACCAGAGGATCTTATTTATCACCATCTTGGAGTCCTTCAGGTGTTTTTTAGCAAACTCCATGCGGGCTTTCATGTGTCTTGCACTGAGGAGAGGCTTCCGTCGGGCCACTCTGCCATAAAGCCCCGACTGGTGGATTGCTGCAGTGATGGTTGACTTACTACAACTTTCTCCCATCTCCCGACTGCATCTCTGGAGCTCAGCCACAGTGACCTTTGGGTTCTTCTTTACCTCTCTCACCAAGGCTCTTCTCCCCCGATAGCTCAGTTTGGCCGGACGGCCAGGTCTAGGAAGGGTTCTGGTCGTCCCAAACGTCTTCCATTTGAGGATTATGGAGGCCACTGTGCTCTTAGGAACCTTAAGTGCAGCAGAAAAAATTTTTTTGTAACCTTGACCAGATCTGTGCCTTGCCACAATTCTGTCTCTGAGCTCTTCAGGCAAGTTCCTTTGACCTCATGATTCTCATTTGCTCTGACATGCACTGTGAGCTGTAAGGTCTTATATAGACAGGTGTGTGGCTTTCCTAATCAAGTCCAATCAGTATAATCAAACACAGCTGGACTCAAATGAAGGTGTAGAACCATCTCAAGGATGATCAGAAGAAATAGACAGCACCTGAGTGAAATATGAGTGTCACGGCAAAGGGTCTGAATACTTATGACCATGTGATATTTCAGTTTTTCTTTTTTAATAAATTTGCAAAAATTTCTACATTTCTGTTTTTTTCTGTCAAGATGGGGTGCTGAGTGTACATTACTGAGAAATAAAATGAACTTTTTTGATTTTTGGAAAATGGCTGCAATGAAACAAAGAGTGAAAAATTTAAAGGGGTCTGAATACTTTCCGTACCCACTGTATCTATTCTTTTGTAAGAGCAGTAGATAGAGGAACCGAGGTTGACTTTGGTGAAATTCCAAATGAGGGTAACGAAGGTGTTTGAGATTTGTCTTTATTACGCAAGGTCTTTCTGGTTCGACTCTTGAGCAAGTTGTTGTGGTGTGGTGCAAAGTCTTGGCTGTGGCAGGCTCAAACTGTGTGCACTGCACATGACGCATCACCTTCAGAGTGGGCGGAGACATTCCAGAGTGACAGCCTCTGAGGAAAGAAGAGAGTGCAGATAAGATGTAAGGAAAGCGCAAGAAAAGGAACACAAGCTAAAGGTGGAGCACAAAGAGTAGGGGGGGCAGAGTAAAAATAAGAGGGTGATGCTGATTGAAATAGTCTGCGGTGACATGAGAGTGACAGAATGAGTTGGTGGTGCTGGTGAATGTGAGAGGACGAGATGGTGAGTTGGTGAGTGAAAGATTGTCTAGGAGACAGGACAAGACAGCCAAAGAGAGAAAGACATAAAAGAGAATAGTTGAGAGTGGCGGTTTCTCTCAATACAGAGAGAAAAACGAGGCAGGGGGGTGTTTTTGTGAGTAGGATGGTGAGCTGCTTTGTGTTATGGGTAAAATATTCAGCTCTCAGCCAGCCTGCTCTTACAGTATTGCATTTTTAAATGAATGTGAACACTGTGCCCTGGTACCCTTACCTTCAACACACTGACATTCATCCATCCATCGTCAACCGCTTATCCTGCATACAGGGTCGCGGGCACTGACATTCAATAAAGTCCAAACTAATCTAACTACTTTGTCACCAAGAGTTCACAGAAATCTGCAAATGAGTGGACAGCCACAGGCACAAACAGGGAGTAGGCCGAAAGTGCAACTGAGAATCTAAGGTCTGTGAAACTTAACATAAAATCTCCAGGAAATAAGGTCCTAGGCAACAGTTGGGTCACAGACACATCTGTAATGAGCTTCCACAAAAGTATGCAATCCTCCCATGGCCTGCAGTGTTTGCCTTCCAAAATGTGGGAGTGGAGCACTCCCTTCTGCAAGGAAATCACACCCCTGTAATAAAACCCATTCAAAACAGAAACACACAATGGAGTAATGCAACCTCCCGCAATGTGGCAAGATTGTAAGACTGAGTTGTGGCTTCTACCCTAACAATCATCTGCAGCCCCAAAACCTAAAATTTACACATCCTTCTCTGTTAGTGGCCCCTTAATGTGCTAATACAATCTCAACTATGCCGAGCTCCACTGTGACTAAAATATCTCTGGACACACTCCTGGATGACACAGTACTTTGCACGGGGCCTTCACTGACGACTCAACCAGGCTTTTGGGGAATATTGCTTTTAGTATGAAAACGTTGTGATGTTAGGTAAAGTATCTGTTTTTACCACATCTTGTCCAACACATTCAGAAGTACAAAAAAAGGCAGAAATGACACCAAGATGGAGAAAGCAAAAAGCACCCACACACACCCATAAAAAAACTCCTTAGCAGCTAGCATTTCCATTATGAACAAAGAGGAAGAGCAAAATAAATTGGCCTTGAGCAGTGATGCAGTATGTGTGTGCACATGTGTGGCTGTGTGGCGTTGTTATCAGACAGTAGTGGGCTGATAAAGCCGTGCTTGCTGTGCTGCAGGCACACTGTACTACATCACAGAATGTCAACTACTTTGCACATACAGCTTATTTATAATATATCTTCTTACCTTGGAGGCA